TGAAGAAAAACGTGGCATCAGGACTCGGGGAAGACTCATTAACAACCTGCGATATGCAGATGACACAACCTTGCTTGCTGAAAGTGAAGAAGACTTAAAATATTTACTGATGAAGATCAAAGAGCACAGCCTTCAGTATTATCAACGTAGAAAAGACTGAAGTTGTCAAGGACTTCATTCGTCTTGGATCAACTATCAACACTCATGGAAGCAGCAGTCAAGAAATCAAAAGATGTATTGCATTAGGCAAATCTTCTGCACAAGACCTTTTGAAAGTGTTGAAGAGCAGAGATGTCAGCTTGATGATAATCTCATATGCATGTGAAAGCTGGACAGTGAATAAGGAAGGCCGTAAAATTGATGCTTTTGAGTTACGGTGTTGGAGGAGAATATTGAAAGTGCCATGGGCTGCCAAAAGAACCAACAGATCTGTGTTGGAAGAAGTGCAGCCAGAGTGCTCCTTGGAGGCCAGGATCTGCAAACTTCATCTCTCATACTTTGGACATATTGTCAGGAGCGAGCAATCGCTGGAGAAGGATATCATGTGTGGTAGGGTGGAGGGTCAGAGAAAAAGAGGAAGACCCCCAGCGAGATGGATTGACAAAGTGGCTGCATCAATGTGCTCAAGTGTGGCAACAATAGTGAGGTTGGCCCAGGATCAGGCAGTGTTTCTTTCTGCTGTGCATAAGGTCGCTATGAGTTGGTACCAACTCGATGGCACCTAACAACAACAACAACAAAAATGGTGATTTTTCTCTACCATTCTTGGTAAATATCAACGAGTGTTTTTTTCTGTGCATAAATTTTTCTTGACTCTTTATGATAGTGGTCTTATACCATATTCGTCCTTTTGTTGTTGACTTATTTCATTTCCATAGGTTCATCCATGTTGTGAGATGTTTTGCAGATTCTTGTTACTCTTTAACAGTTAACAGTATTCTACTGTATGTATGTACCATAGTGTATCCATTCTTCCATTGATGAACACACTTACATTGTTTCCAACTTTTTGCTTTGTGAATAATGCGGCAATGAGCATTGTGTTTGTTGTTAAGCGCTGTCAAGTCAGTTCCAACTCATGGTAACCCTAGATAGAGTTTCTAAGGAGCAGCTGGTGGGTTTGAACCACTGACTTTGTGGTTAGCAGTCCACTTATCCTATAGCGCCACACCACTATTGTCATGGCTCATTTCTCTATATATACCTAAGGAATTCTGGATCATATGGTAGCTCTATTTCTAACTTTCTAAGGAAGTGCCACACCATCTTCCACAGTGGCTGTACTATTCTGGACTTTAATTTTTTTGTAAGGAAATTTTTTTGTTTCTCTAATCTATGTCTGGGCCCTTGGCATTTAAAATTTTAAAACTACTTTCTGCATTCATTATATTTGGAAGATTTGAGTTTAATTACTTAAAAAAATGTTTAAAAAATGGAGTCCTGGTATGGCGCTATATGATAGGCACTGGGTTGCTAACCACAAGGTTGGTGGTTCAAACCCAGCAGTCACTCCTCTGAGACCCTATATAAGTTCACTATGAGTTGGAACTGACTTGATACCACTTAACAACAAATACATTTACGAAAGCAAAAATATCTCCTTTTAGACAGCACAGTATTTCTCTTTTCTTAAACTATACACTTGTTCTCTAATGCCATTACTTGATTGCCACTGAAGAGAAGCAGTTCTACTGACTGTAGCACATTAGATTTAAATGGACATGTGGAAATGAGCCAAGTTTTATTAATACCTTACCTTAGCAACCTAGTCTAAATTTGCAGTAAAGTGTTTTCAGATAAATATGCACATAATGCATATTTATAGAAATGCATATCCCATAGAAAATAATGGTAGGATTGCCATGAAATATTTGAAAATAATGGACCTACTTATTCAGGGGATATAAAACAATGTAGGGAAGATGGAGTTGCATTTTACTAAAATTTCACAGAGTTTTTTCTTTGAGGAATGTTTTACTGTGAGGCTGGTACATCTAATTAATCCTGACAGGGGAGATTCAACCTCTCACCTGCTTAGGGGTTTGTCCTAGTTCCCACAGCAGGAAACAGAAATTTACAAACATAGATGCTTGGCAATGGCCTCTTGTGTTACTTCATACCTGAAAAGGATTTTAATCTCGTTTGAAACAGAAGCTTTCTTTAAGGCAGTCTACTGGCAAAGATGACCAATGAAGAAAATATTCAATCTACATCTATGTAAACAAATAATGTTTCTCCAGCCTCTCTCTTAAATAGAATGGTTTTGTATTAGTCCTCAGAGTGACATCTTTGATCTTGAACACTTTAAAGAGGTATATGCTGAAGATTTGTCTAATGCAACAACAGCAGCCTTTCTCTAACATGTCATCACTCCACCTGTGTCAGGATCCAAAACAAAAAAAAATTCTAATCCTATCAAGATAACCTAAAACTGAAATGTGAAAATATATAGTAGAATGATTTAACTTGCTTCCTTTTTTCCATTTTTGTTCTTTATAGTCAAGAAAATAAATATGGATAAAGTATCAGAGACTCTAATACATTCAAAGATATAAGAATGCTATTATAGTCTTTGTTATTATTGTTGCTAAGTACCACTGAGCCGGTCTGACTCATAGCAACCCTTATTGGATTTCCAAGGAGCAGCAGGTGGACTTGAACCACCAACCTTGCAGTTCAAACTTGTTGTCCAGTGCATTAACCTGCAGAGTCAGACCAGGCAATAGTTCAAGTTTACCAGCTGTTCCTTGGAAACTGTAGACAGGGTCGCTATGAGTTGGATTCAACTCCATTGTACTTAACAACAACAAGAGTTATATTCTTTAAATGAACATATTGTTATAGGAAAAGGAAACAACAAGAATTTTTAGAAGTTTTGATTTTAGAAATTAAAAATTAAATGAACAAATGAGTAATGGAATGGTAAACGTGAAAAATAAACTAGTTATTTGAAAAATAAAGCTGAATAAATCTTGAACCAAAAAAACAAACAAAACACATTGCTATAGAGCAGATTTTGACTCATAGCTATGCTACAGGTCAGAGTAGAACTGCTTCTTTGGGTTTGTATGACTGTAAATCTATGGGAGTAGCCAGTCTCATCTTTCTGCTAGAGAATGGCTGGTGACTTTGAACTGCTTAGCCCACTATGCCACCAGCGCCCCATAAATCTTGAACAAAAAGACAGAAAACACTAGAAAATAACAGAAACTTGAATGTTAGGCATGTATGTCTAATGTATGTCTAATGGGAATCCCAAAAGGAGGGAATGGAAGAGAGTGAATATTGTTTAAAATAATGTAAATTCTGAATTTTCCAGCTAAAAACATGGCCAGTACATTGTTCGAACAGAACATGGGAACACTGAATGGCTTAAAATTTAAAAAGGTGTGTAATAAGGTTGTATTCTTTTACCATACTTATTCAACCTGTATGCTGAGCAAATACTCCAAAAAGCTGGATTATATGAAGAAAGACATGGCATCAGGATTGGAGGAAGACTCATTAACAACTTGCGATATGCAGATGATACAACCTTGCTTGCTCAAAGTCAAGAGGACTGAAAACAATTACTGATGAAGATCAAAGAGCACAGCCTTCAGTATGGATTGCTTCTCAATGTAAATAAAACAAAAATCCTCACCATCGGACCAATAAACAACATTCTTATCAATGGAGAAAAGATTGTCAAGGACTTTATTCTTTTTGGATCAACTATCAACACTCACGGAAGTAGCAGTCAAGAAATCATACGACGTACTGCATTAGGCAAATCTGCTGCACAAGACCTTTTTAAAGTGTTGAAGAGCAGAGATGTCAGCTTGAGGATTAAGGTGCGCCTGACCCAAGCCATGGTATTTTCAATAACCTCATATGCATGCGAAAGCGGGACAGTGAATAAGGAAGACCGTAGAAGAATTGATGCTTTTGAGTTATGGTGTTGGAGGAGAATATTGAAAGTGCCATGGGCTGCCAAATAACCAACAGACCCGTTTTGGAAGAAGTGCAGCCAGAGTGCTCCTTGGAGGCCAGGATGGCCAAACTTCATCTTTCATATTTCAGATATATTGTCAGGAGGGACCAATCGCTGAAGAAGGATTATCATGTTTGGTAAGGTGGAGGGTCAGAGAAAAAGAGGAAGACCCCCAACGAGATGGCTTGGCCAAGTGGCAGCATTGATGGACTCAAGCGTGGCAACAGTAGTGAGGTTGGCCCTGGATCGGGCAGTGTTTTGTTCTGCTGTGCATAAGGTCGCTATGAGTCGGTACCAACTTGATGGCACCTAACAACAACAATCAACAAAAATATGTGAAAAGATGCAATCTGATGCCAGTTAGTCTTATCCCATTGTTTTGTTTTGGTATTGTTATGTTTTCATCTTGTTTTGTGGCACTGGACTGTGACCCACCAAGTCTGTGGTTTAAACTCACCAGCTGCCTACTGGTGACTTGGAACTGACTCAGTGACACTTGACAACAGCATAACGTTTTATGGCTTTTAATTTATCTTTGGAATTTTGAAATTTCACCTGTATATATTTAGGATTGCACCTTTTCATATATTTTTGTTGGTAATTTTAAATATTGCCAAAATTTCTACTAGTTACTGAATTCTCAGTAACTAGTAGAAATTTTGGCAATATTTAATATTGGCAATAAGTGTGTGCTAATTAACATTTTTATATTACTCTCAAGAGATTAAGATGAAATTTTAATAACATTTAAAATATTAACATGATAATTATCCCAGGTGATAATCCAATGTGGTGAACTTCAGACACATCAATTAGCCCAAGTAGTACTGAAATTAAACTAAAAAAATGAGACTTTTCTTAAACTGAAAAACTGGAAAACATGTAACATTATATAATCAAGTAAATGAGATTTTTAACATTAGGCAACTAAGAGCTACTAACATTACTAATAGTCCACTTTTGCTTTAAATAACATTAAACACATTCAGCTGTAAGTCCAGGTTTTAATAATTTAGTTTTTCCTTACCAGGCTATTTTCTTTCCAGGCTTCTGGGAATTTAGGCCTCTGTTTTTCTCGGGACACCAGAACCTGCATGTCTTCAAAAGTGGGGTGGTTTCCCACTTCTGTTTGAAAGGCCATCTGGTACTCTGGAACAGATTCACCTATGTATTTTTAGGCAAGGATAGAATAAAAGTTTCAATTATCATAAAGTGTTAAAAATAACAAGGGCATTTCTGAAACTACATAAACAAATAAATTGTGTTACATTACCTTCTTTTTAAAAATGCCTTCACGTATGTATAGAAATCCTAAATAGACTCTTTTGAGGGTTTAATGTATTATTAATAAATCCTTTACTTAAAATAGTCTGAGAATGTTTGTTGATGTGATGGTTAATTTTATATGTTAACTTGGTGAGGCTACGTTGTTGTTGTTGTTGTTGTTGTTAAGTGCTGTCGAGTCGGTTCCGACCCAAAGTGCCCCTGTACAGGGTTTCCGAGGGTGTAAATCTTTACGGGAGTAGAAAGCCTGATCTTTCTCCCGTGGAGCAGCTGGTAGTTTTGATCCACTGACCTTAAGGTTTGCAGCCCGATTCGTAACCACTATGCTATAGTGCACAGTTTTCTGGTCACAAACTAGTGTATATGGTATTATGAAGTATGAGGGGCTTCAAAAAGTTCATGAAAAAATTCCATTTTCTTTCTATTCCATTTCCTAAGTACTTTGGTAAGCACCTCGTGGTTAACATATGATAAAATCATTTCGCCTTAAGTACACTAGATGGTAAACTCCATAATGTGGGTAGGCTCCATCTGAAGGATTTTAGAGAAAAATGAGAGGAAGTTTCCCCTACGGTATATACTACCTTCAGACAATAAATAGACATTTTGCCAGAACTCCTTTACTCCTTCATTCTTTCTGCTGTCTGACCTATGGTTTTGGAATGTAAGACTGCAGGAATCTCTAGTCTGTCACCTGAGCTCCGGATTCTGGATTTGCTGGCCCCCACAAATATGTGTGCCAATTCCTTAAAATAATCTCTCTCTCTCACTACACACACACACACCCCTTCCGAAATGTATTTTCAGAGAACCTTGAAAGTAGATAAATCAAAAAGCAAGTTGTTCAATGATACATTGTTGGGAGTGGCGACTGAGTTGGCTCTGCATGGCAACGTTAAGAGTAGAATAGCTCCATAGGGAGATTGCCAAATCTGTCTTCTGTGGTGTCATTAGGTGAGTTCACACCACCAACTTTTAGGTTAGCATTCAAGTCCAAGCCATTTGTGCTACCTAGGGACCTCAATGATGGACAGATTACCTTTATACAAGGGGGTTTCAAAGAGTTCATGAAATCAATCCTATCCCCTCTGTGTACAGGGTAGATAGGGACAGGCAAGTTAAACACTGGCTACCTAAAATGAGGGGGCAATAAAGGCACAAAGTGACTGGCTTGCAAGGTTTCAAGAGGGAGTTTAGTTTAAGAGTGTGCAATGAAAGATAGAGTCCCCACTGAATAGTTTTCATCAGGTCTAGAAGGGTCTGGCGGAAAGAGATGGGGATAAGATTCTTATGATTTAGTAGTGAGTAATTCTTATCATGACTAATTGTGACTGTCACAACTGTAAAAGTAGACGTTTTGTAACAAAAATCGGGGCGTAGTTAATTTTACAGTCCAGAAACAAGAGGACCCTAGGACCATCAAGGGAGAAGCGCACAAGCGGAATGCAGGACCCTATCCAAAGAAGCAGCAACACGAGAGATGGAGCCAGAGATGAGGGCATGGAGAAACAGAACAGCTGAGGACTCTAGACTCATGGAAAGAGAGGGACTGAGTGCTGGCTGCCAGGAGGCAGGTTTGCAGAATGTGCCCTTTGGTTATTTAAATGATTATATATTCCTGAGTGTTTTTGTGTACATCTCCACCCCTGCCCCTGAAAAAAAAAAAAAAAAACCAGAGAGAATGAAAGCAAACACTGTTCAATGATGATGCATGGAGGAGACTAATCACTGCAATGAAATGATGGTGTAAAGCTGATGTTCTCCCATGTAAACTATCACTCAGTTCACAATAATAACAAAAAAAGTTCATGGAAAAAAATTCTATTATCTTTTCACTCCATTTTTCTACAAACATTTTGAATCTTGTATAGTTTCCGGTATTGCTAAATGTAGTGGGGTGGGGGGTGAGCGATGACAGACTATTATATGACTAAGATATATTCCTGTACTCTGATCCCACACAGGGATATGGGCAGTGAAGATGAGGATACAGTCCAGGCAGGTATGTCTGTAAAACCAAATATAAGTGAGTAGGTTGTACAGTCTTATTATGTCACTAGGACTATTATTATCCATCAGATGCAATTCATGTCACAAACATGTTTATGATGGCCATTTTATAGAAAAATCAATATATTTTATTTAAAAATTGTTTCTCTTTACTAAGAAGCAATATTTACAGCAAGGATTTTAAAGTATTATTAACCCTATTGATCAACAAATAAGCACTTTCAGCTGCTTGCAATAAGAGGCTTCTGATTTTTTACAAAATGCAATAAAATTAAACTTATTAGTAAACATACTGAGCCAATAGGAAGACCTCTGGGACCAATACTAAGAAACCCAATGGTCTAATCAAAATTTTCATAAAAAACATAGGAAAATTCCTTGCATCCGCTCCCTGCCCTCCAATACCACCCCATTAAAAATGATATGATAAATTAGAAGAAAGAACACCAGGATGGAAGATAAGGCATTTAAATTTTAATTTTAGATTCATATCTACTTTGGAAAAATCATCTATTCTGTTTCAGAACAGCTTTCCTGTCTGCACAATGGCAATGTCTGTCTTCCTTATCTCACTCACAATGGAGATAATACAAAGTTATAATGACCCAAAATGGAGAGTTTGTTCAAAATATGCAACTTAAGCTTCATGTTTCTATTTCATTATCCATAAAGACTAATTCTATAATCTATGCAGTATAACTTTTTTTTTTAAATACCGGTGTTGGTGTTAGTTGCCAATTGAGTCAAATCACTCATGCAGATCTTATGTATGAAAGTGGTCAAAAATTATCTGCACTCTGGCTGTAAAATGTATTTTAATCAACCTTTTTAAAAAGATTTTATTGTGAATTATGTGATAATTTACATGGGAGAACATTAGCTATATTCATCCTATCATATATCATTTCATTGCCATGATTACAATCCCCCCTCCATGCCTTATCAACCAACCAAACGTTGCAAGCCTGCAAGCCTGCCCGCCGGCCATTAGCACACAGCCCCTCTCCCTCTCTGGATCTAGAGTCCCCAGCTGCTCCATCTCTCCATATCATCATCTCTGGCATCACTATTTCTCTGGGTAGGGTTCCACACTCTGCTCTTCTCCCTTGATGGTTCCAGGGTCCTTTGCTCCTGTACTGCAAAGTCAATCACTCCCCTCCTTTTGCTACAAAATGTCTACCTTTACATTTCCAACCCTCACAGTCAGCCCTGACAGCAATTATTCACTATTGTATCACAAGAGTCCTATTGCCATCTCCTTTCATCAGCCTCACCCAGACAGATTGGATACTGCTCAGTGGAGAGTCCACCTTCCTCCGCACCCTCTGGATCTAGGCTCCCTTTTGAAAGCTTGTAAGTCAGTCACTTCTTGCCTTTGTAGCCCCCTCCCCCCCCCCATTTTGGGTAGCCAATGTCCTAGTTGCCCATCCCTGTCTACCCTGTGTATGGAGGGGGTGGGAATGATCCTCGTTATAAAGATTTGTTCCCTCTTTTGAGCTACTGCATCCATAGGTGTAGGTCAAGTTCATCAATTGTATCAAGTACTCTTTTTTTTCCTCTTCTTTCTTCTTCTAGTCGAGTTCTGATCATCCAGTCATTGAAGCCAGGTCAAGTGGGTATTATCTGCAAGTGTGGGTGTTCTTGTGCATAAGCCCTCTCTTCTTACCAGCTGGATGCTTCACTCTCCACTCTAGTTCTCTGTGGCTATGTCACAGACTCTGGGCCCAGGAGTCCCCAGGTCTTGCCATACTGCTGGCCAACCAGGTCTCCACCTGGGTTCACAGAAGTGTACTGAATGTGGTTGGACTTAGTTCACAGCTTCATTGCTGTTTTTTCCTCACTTCCCCTTATCGGTGGCCAACATGGTCACTAGCCAGATCACATGTCTGCTTGTATATTCCCCTCGAGTCTTAGTCTTGTAAGGAGGTTTGCCCTGAGGGGACCTGACCATTTGCCTTGATGTCTCCTGGGTGTTAATCAACTTTTAGAAAAGACAAATACATCATTTTAAAAAATAATCTCCTTGCTTTCCAATAAACTTTGTCCACCTGTCAACAAGTTTTCCTATTCTCTTATTTAAAAATGTTTTTGGCTGAGCTGCTAGCCATGAATGCACCACTTCATCAGAGATAATGTCTTCACTTCTTCATCAGAGGAGGATCTTAGTCCTCCAAGGGCTGCTTTCAGGAGACCAAACAAGTGAAAGTCAGATGGAGCAACATCAGGACTATAGGGAGGATACTTAACACCTCAAAATGAAGTTTTTGCAGAGTGTCAGTAGTGTGGGCAGAGGTGTGTGGATGTGCATTGTCACAATACCATTGGATAGCAGTCCTCTGTGTTTAACTGAAGTTTAGTCTTCAAGTTATCAGTGAGCATTTCACTGTAATGAGCACTATTGATTGTTTTTCCTGATTATGTTCCAATACTAGCTCTTGAGAATCCCAGAAAACTATAAACATCAATTTTGCAGCTGATGGTTGACTTTATAACTTTTTCTGGGTCAGCAATTGAGGATGTTTTCATTCCATATTCTGCCATTAACTCTCAGGCTCTTAGTGAGTAATCCATGTCTCGTCACCAGAAACGAAATTTTAAAAGAAACTTTTACCTTCCTTCTAGTATGGATCCAAACACTTCTGTTTATGCTCTCTGCGAGTTCTTTTGGTACTCACCTCACTCAAACTTTTAGAAACCCAGGTCTGTTGTAGATTATTTCATAGGCAGAGCCAAGGCTGATTTGCAAATGATTTGTCACATAACCCACTGTCACTTAACTATTCGACAGAATCATTTCACATGCATGTTCAATGTTGTCATCAACCATTGATGTGGATGAGTGTTTTAATATAAATGAAATGCAGATCGTT